TTTGAGAATCACTTAACAGTGTACATTTTCTCAGCATCACAATCACAGAAATTCCTTGGCTAAATGGCTCAGTGCTGATCCACTGTGAAATGTTGTAGAGTGTTCAATTACCCTTACAATTGTTCATCTCTTACCTGCGGAGCCCCTGTGGCTAATCATAAGACAATAGGTTGCAGTTGAGAAAATTTCTGCTGCACAGAAGGAAAGTTTGCTGAAAAGCCACAGGCCCCAGACCTCCACACAGAAAGGGAATTGTCCTTCCTTTTCCAATATGACCGTTCTCCCTTATTCATGATTTCAGTTACCTCAGTCAGCCACAGTCCTCAAACAGGAAAGAACAGTACAATAAGATATTTTAAGAGAGAGACTACGTTCACATAACTTTTATTAAAGCAAATTATAACTAGGGACCAGCATATGGCATAATCGTTACATCATTGGACTCCCACATGGCTGACTGCAGTTGGAGTCCCAGACTCAGCAACTTGAAACACACCAGGCACATGTGCATGAGTGCCTAAGATCCCAAGAGGAGAATGGAGGAGAAGAGATTGCAGCATGCCCATCCCTCCTGTGGGGTGATTTCTCTGTTTCTCGCTTTCTGTCTCTCTGTCTCTCTGCCCTACAGCCTAGGAAAAAGAAACTTTCTGGGTATGAGATGCAACATATCATGAGGGGTATGAATAGCACCTCTATGGAAAAATGTAAGAAAACTGGATAGCAAGGTTAGAGACCCCTCCAAGTGGCACCAGATAAATCAACAATTCTTTGACAGTCAAGTCAGTGCCAAGTGAGATGACTATGTAATAGATGCCATGGTTTGAATGTGTATATTGGAATTTGTTTGAATTGTGAAGATATTTAGTGGAGATTTAATCTGATTATGAGTTGAAAGATGGGGCCTTTGGGAAGTTATTAGGCAGCAGGGTAGGGCCCCTGTGATTGAGGCTGGTGGGTGTGCAGTGAGAAGCAATGACACGAACACGTGTTCTGCTCTGCGCTTGCTCTGCCTCAGAATCTCCCATGACATCCATCGGCAAGAAGATCCTTGCCAGATAGGACCCTCGACCATGGACCTCCAAAAACCTGAGCTGTCAATAAGTGCACCTCCATTCTCTTCGATTACTAAGACTCAGGTATCTCTGTTATTAACAGTAGTGGATTTTAGACATTGATGTTGATTTGTGGTCTCTGGATGCTAAAACCCCATTGAAAAGGATAAAGAAATTGGTCTAAATGAGAGGACAGGCTCTTAGTAAGTGGTATATCTTCAGAATGGAGGTAGTTGTGCCTACTGCCCAGGTATGTGACTTGGGCATACAGTTTCCTACTTCTAGATTCAGAGTTGGGGTTGGAAGTGCAAAGGTTGTGAGAAAAGAGAGACAGATGTAGAAGATGGAATGCATACTTGATGACCTTCTCTTTCCTTACTGCACATCAATTCTCCCTTGGCCATGAAGAACAGTGGAAAGGAGTGTCCAAGCTACAGATTTATCACAATCTTTTGTAAAAAGAAAACTAGGGCTAGTTATTTAGGCTCCCTCATTCTGTACCACTGAAAATCCATTAGCGAATATTAAGATGGAGCATTATGGAAAGATCCTGGGCTTTGCGCCAAATAGGAATATGCCTAGCCTGCAGCTACCTCTTATAACTAACAAGTAATGAGGACTGGGGCAGGCCACTTCACCCTCCTTACCTCAGCTTCTTCCTTTACAAAACGGAAGCAAGAATGTCAGCTCCAAAAACTTTTGAGAAGGTTACTTAAGATTCTGCTATGTGCTGATCACACAGCACACCGCACTAAACCTTGTTCATTGCTTGTTTTCTTATGTGAAAGGGCATAGAGAGCTATTCCAACTCACTCATACTGCTTTTCTTTTTATTTTCTTTCTTTTCTTTTTCAATCCCCCTCCCCGTCCATCATACAGAGACACGTGCACATGCTTCTGTTACCCCCAAAAGTAATTCTAATAACCAATTAGTGGGGTCATTGTCACACAGGTCATCGTCACATTGTCAAATTCTCTGAGAGGTGGTAGGTCATAACATCTCATTTTACTTCCAGCAAGGTATTGTCCATCTCATTATTTCCAAA